CACACACACACACACACACACACACACACACACACACACACACACACACACACACACCGAGGAGCTGGAATGCTAAGACATGGAAAAAACACACAACCCAAAAATCCTCCTGCAGGCCGACTGACCGTCCTCGGGATCACACATCCTGACCTTACAACCTTACTTCCCATGAAAAAGCTTCTGCTAAACACAAATTTTGATTTAATGGAAAAAAAAAAAACTGGGCCGTTTAAATGAGAGTGATAAAGCGAGCGAACAGCCAGACGTCAGCTCCTTCATCTTCAATCTGATGGATTCTGGATGACGATGAGGAAAAAGTCTTTATCTGTTAAGAAAAAGGCAAAAAAATTAAACGACTTCAGGAACAAAAGCATCTTAAATGTTCACATCCAGCCTTTTTAGCCAGGAAATAATCTGAATAATGGGCATTTTAATATTTTAAAATGTAGAGCTTTAATAAAAACAGCTGATCTCGAGTTTTACTAAACTGCTGCTGCAGCTGTAAAATAATCTTCACGGCCAGATGCCGACCTCTCTGGACTTGAGAAGTTTAGAAAACATTCCTGCCCATTTCTGGTTCACATGGCAGGTGGCAAAACACAATTCTTATGGAAAGTTATGTAAACAGATAAAAGGCATCATTTGAATGCCCGACTTTCCCCCACAGGAGGAAACTTGTTTCCCAAAAGCAGCGACTGCAGGGCTGAAAGATGAAACCGACACTGAAGAGCCACAAACTGCAGCTCACGTCCACCAGAGGCTCCAGCATTGAGTCATCCCGATACGAAAACCACTTCTATGGATAACTGTGGATTATAACAGCTGAACGGGGGCTGAATTTTTCTTATAACACTTCCATTTGGACACCAGTAAGACTCAAAATTAGGGCTGTGGCCTCTTTGACAGACAGGTAGATGGTGGCTGTCTGCTAGGCTTCAGCTCAGCTAATGGGAGCGTGTTTGAGCCTTTTGAAGCATTTATAAGTCAGGTTAACTGGAATAACAGCGTTTCGTTTTTGGTGAATGGAATTCATTTAGCAGTAATTCCCAGCAGATGCTCTCACCTGGAGCGATCATGATCTCGTTCTTCTTGGAGCGCACGCGCATGAAGGTGAGGTCGTTCTGGGGGTCGATGTCTCGGATGGTGCTCCTGGCCTTCATCACCAGCTGGTGGATCAGCCCGGCGTACTGCACCGTGCTCGAGTTGTCCAGAGTCGACTTGATGGGGATTCCTGAAGGGAAAAGTATTTAAATTCATAATTTGATGGGATTCCAGCTTTATTATGTACCAAGGAAAATGTAAGTGTGGTAAATTAAAGGAACAGGGGTGAATAAAAAGCAGCAGACAAAAACAAACACATCATCAATAATAACGTCATTTCACAGAGTGAAAAACGTGCATGTGAAAGTTCATGTATGAAACAAGCATTCCTGGTTTTTATGGGATTATCACAGCTCGAAGGATTGTTTTCCACGAATGACAATTATGTTTTCCTTATGAACTAAATGTTGTTTAACTTGTTATTGATCAGGTAGTGAAACAATAATCAATATGTGGAAGGTTTATTTTTAGTATTTAATAAGAGGCAAGATTTAAGTCATTCGTGAAGATGAGTGAATGCTGCTGCAGCACAGCTTCTCGGGTTTATTTTGCACTCTATGTGATGATTACTGTAGTGTCTGCAGACGTTGTGATATTATTATCAACATACTTTAGGTTGTGCTGCTTTTAACATATGAAGGCAGTTTATTCAGGACAGAGCAGTGCACCATGTTTCAAGGTGCTGAGAACATTATTTAAATGTTTGAATTGAGTCTTTTACTCATCAGTGTGATAAAATCAGTCCCAGAAAGGTCTCTGCCAGTGGCTTCTGTCTCCATGCTGGGGGTCTCGGTCTGTGAGGGAGTTTCCTCCTCCTCACTTTGTTTCTTTCACTGTTCACTTCTGTTTTCTTGGGTTTGTATAAACTGATCATGAATCGGCTTCCCACACACGGCAGTGTGCGGTGTTTTAGCTTACAGCTGTGAGATTGCTCCTTTTTATCGCTACAGCCTACATGTGTTTGCTCAGCACAAACAGGTCATGTGACGGCACAACAACAAAACACAATGAGACAGAGAGGAGGAGGAAGAGGAGGAGCAGGAGGACCGTGTTTGTAAAGGGATGTCTACTTTCTGAGGAAGCACTCTGAAACTAAGTATCACGATCTGATACTGACACTGGTACCGATATATCAATATTTGGATCGATCCAGGGTCACTCGGCTGTTTCAGGTGTAACGGGAGGGGAGGAGCCAGAGATAACACGTGCAGGGAGCAGGTTAGGACAGGGTCACACGGTCTGTTACCATGGTAACCGATTAGGGAAGGGTCACAGTGTCTTATCGTGGTAACCGACTATAAATTTAAGTTAGGTTTTATTTTTCCCGATAGAGACCTAAAGTTTGCCTCAGTTTTAACAAACCCGGAGTTTATTAAACCTGAGTTCTGGATCAGACCCCGGAGGACTTATAGTTGCTAAACACACGGTGGCAGTCACAATAAGAAACACGCAAAGAGCGGAAAGGTCTTTAAAAAAGGGGATGAAATGACATCATTGTCGTCTCACCCTCTGAATTGGCGACGATGATTCCCTGAACCCCTTTCTGGCCCTGAATCCTCTTCAGGGTTTCTTCTACTTCAGCCTGAGGGACGGAGACAACAGTGATCAGTCATTTCATGTGAGCTGATAAACGGATTTAAATCGTTTAACACCGCAACAAACACAGAATTAAAATAATCTCCCAGCGAGCGCGTATAAAGGTAACACAAAGGGAGAAACGGTTAAAAATAAACCGACAACGCCCGACTAGCAAAAGCAAGCTAGCTTCAGTTAGCAATTTATTAAATTCCGTCCTGTAAAACTGATAAATTACAGTATGATGGCCAAATATGTGAACAGTTTCACCAGATACTTGTCAAACCGTCCTCTTATCCTACCATTTTCGTTTTTTTGTGGAGAAATTCGTGCCAAAAAACCCTCTCAAAGCTCTGCAAACTAGCAGGCAGCACTCCGGTTTTGTTGACGGCAAGCGAAGAAGAAGAACCTCCGGGGCAACTGCTACGTTTACTGTCCAAACCGAAGAGTCGGATTTCTCAACTATATTTTTCACGGGCTCTTTTATTCCATTTCGCCTCGATAAATTCCATTTTTAAGCCCTTGTTTTTCTTTGTCATATAGAAATACCATTAAAAAAGTGGGACGGTACCATAAAAAAATCACACTGTTTAGTCACTTCGGTTAAAAACATAGTATGTGATTTCAAAGTACCGGGGCATCCCAGGTTAGATAAAACCGTAAAGTCACGCGGTTCTGATGACTCTGGTTAAGAAATACAGACAAGATAAAGCCTCTAATTCAAAATCATAATACAATAAAACAACAGAATAACTGTGATAATAAACTAACGAAACTAAACGCATTCGCAGTGCAGAAATGTCCCGTGTGAGAGACATGTTACTGATTTATTTCTAATTAATTAAATAAGATAAGATAAGATAAGATAACCTTTATTAGTCCCACACGTGGGAAATTTGTTTTGTCACAGCAGGAAGTGGACAGTGCAAAAGTTATGAGGCAAAAATTAGGATACAATAATAATTGTAATTAATTACAAATAATTGTTACCGTACTGTAGTTCAGTGCTAAAAAAAACAAAAAACAAAAAAGGAGAAACACAGGTTATAGAATTGTACTGTACTCATATTTTTCTCACTTATTTTCATTAATTTAATCTCAGAGCGTCAGATTTAGTAAAGTTTAAACAGCAGATGATAATAAGCTGATAATAAGAAGAAGATAATAAACACATTAAATATTATATCATATATACTGCATATACAGTATTTTAGAGCGCTTTATAAACATGGGCTCAAAATGTATTAATTAATAAAGTAAAACTTGCACTTTAGTTTTTAATGTGGTAAAAACTACATATTCATATCCCTGTAAAATGTCGTGCAGTTCAACAAAAAAAGTATAATCTAGTAGGAAAACTCTGGAAAACTATTTTATTCTATTTTATTTATTTATTTCTGAATGGTTTGCATATCATTGGTGGGCGCGGCCACCCTGTTTACAAAATGACAGCGTAAAGTGAGACCTGAGCAGCCAAGACTGGACCGGAAGCTCACAGAAGTAAAACCAACAGGAACGCGATGGACGAGAGTTTTAGTAGAAAATGAGAAAAGGAACTTTAAAAAGGCTTTTTGAGACCTTTGGAGCAAAGTCATCAAACACTTTAAGCATTTTCAACAGATTTGACTGGTGTTGTTATTCATGCCTTTATATAAAACAGCAGATCACCATTATTATAAAACTAACTAGATAAATAAATAAAGATAGATGTGGAAAACATTTTTATAACCAAAAACGATTTTGTGACGTATGCTCTCCATACAATAAAACCCACAAAGTTTAAAAGTGACACTGGAGCCAATAAAACGGAACTAAAACTAAACAGTTCAGACAATAAAAACTAAACTGAAACAATGAAATTTAACTGAAACTAAACCGACTTTAAAGAAAAGTCAAAACAGAATAAAAACACTGAAATTATGAAAAGAAACACCTCTAATAAATCCGGCTGTAGTTCACGCACTGAGCGCACACCTCACAGGAAACGTGACACACTGTATCCCACACAGAAGCTTTTCTCTTTGAAAACTGTAACCGGAAGTTGTGGTATATTGTTACCGTGACCGCGCGCGACTTGTTGTTAGGCGCTTCATTCACGTTTAACGACCGTGAGCAGCGGAGGAATGGACGAGAAAGAAGAAGATGTGGGTGAGCATGTTCAAAGGGAGCAGAGAGCTGCTTTTGTTCCAGCGCTCTGCTCCTCTTCAGCTCTTTGTGGTCTTTAAAGTTGTCAGGAGCGTCTGCAGGCTGAGAGCTCAAAACGCTCGACTGTGTTTCAGGAGCTCATGATTACCCAGACCTCTGCACACTCACCGCAGTCTGCTCATTATCAGGGTTTGAAGATGCACTTGGACAACTCACGATAATCCAAATCTTACAGTATTATCGCGATAAAAGTAGAAAACAAATTACAAAACAAAACAATGCATCGTGTCTGATTCGTGTAAAAGTTTTACTGGGAGAGGAAAAAAGTAAACAGGAGCACTGGGAGTGTTGGGGAGGAGAGAGGTGGAAAAGCCAGAGGCTTCCTTTCTGCTGCAGCGTTGGTGTCCGTCTGTAGAGAGGTGCGCCCCTACTGTACTCCAAAATCCCAACCACATGGTGCTCGACATGGATGACACTGTGTGCTGATTGGCTGATAAGTGGGCAGAACAGGGAAGTGAGAGACAGTGGAGTTAACCAGCAACGGGAGAAGAAAGATCTCAGATAAAAAGAACACACAGCAGGATGGCTGACAGCGGCTTTCGTTTGAACAACCAGCTTCACTCCAGCTGACTGATGGTCCATCAGCAGCTCAAGCAGCACATATTTCTGACACTACCTCCATCAATGACGGATGCGGACAGTCCAATGCTGCCCAAGGACAGCCCATAACCTCCCATAAATGACTCGTATCTATTGGCTCGATAGATGATTGAGCTTGAAAGGATGTGCAGCAGGTGAGGGTGATAACAGACTGAGCGTGTTGAAGAAAATCAGGAGGGAAGATAGTAAATTTGGAAGTGTTAGTAAAACTGAACTAATAAGGAGGAAGTGAGGGCAGCTATGAAGAAAAAGAAGAGTGGAAGGGTGGTTGGTCCATACAACATACCTGCAGAGGTATGGAGATGTAGGAGAGAGGGCAGAAACAGAAAGTTTCTGTTATTCTAATTTAAAGTATTTAAGTGCTTTAAATTAGAATATGTTGTGACACGGTAATAGACTGTTCTGTGGACGGTTCTAAAACTAGATGAACTTCAGCCTCCAGTTGGAGAAGACAACTCCCTTTACAGGTGCTGATAACGCCAAGGGCACAAAACAGCGTGGTATGATCAGTCTGTAACTTCCTCCCTCTTCCTTGGAATACATAAAGCAGTGGGAGCACCACTTCTGTTTCAGAACGCTCATCACTGTGAACCTGTGATGTTTTGATGTCTGTGGGATTACATCAGGATCTGAGCCCCTTCTAGTTCGCAGTGATGATGGACAGGCTGACAGATGGAGTCAGGCAAATTAAAGAATTAAATAAATAAAAATAAATATGGTCATATTTTAATTTTTAATTACTTCAGGTTGTTGTGTCAGATTACCACATGGACCTTTAGATTAGGCTTTGGACTAGATGTTGATGTTGCTGTGTGTCGCAGCTATAAAATGTTCCTGGCGCATGTTGTTGTGCCATCAAACTATTTGCACGAGTATGACACTGTTTTCATATGTATAGGGCCCGTGGTCATAACCATACATCCATGATAACACTGTTAAAAAAGACACAAAGTATCAAAAGTGAAAGTTCTAAAATACCAAAATAAATGTAGTAAATGCAGGAAATTAGGAAACTAAACTGCTTTTCATCAAAGGGTTTAAAATTAAAAATCATGTAAGGATGGTCATAAAAACAAAGAAAGATCTGTCATTATTATAACCATCGAAAAAGTGTTGTTTTGCTTGCTCCTACGTGACTACCAACGACTGGAGCAAAGGTCACGGGAACCTGCCTTCTCTCTAATGGCCAGCAGGGGGCGACTCTTTGGTTTGGACATTCCTGTCTGCCATATTGGATGTGATGCCATGAGCTTTGTCCTCACACATTCTTTACATATGAATTATCACCGTTTTTCATGCTAATGAATCTTTTTTATTACTTTCCTACTGATCTGGATAGAAGTTTACGGTACGTCATGAAGAATGTTATCCCATTTATATAACCTGCACTTCATCAGTTACTGTACTTAGTAACCAGTTGGCCCAACACAGCTGTAGGAGCCGTATGAGTTTTTCTTGTTTTTGGATTACAAGGGTTGGTTTAGATCAGGGGTCCACGAGGGCCGGTGTCCCTGCAGGTTTTAGATGTGTCCTTGTTCCACCACAGCTGATTTCAATGGATAAATTACCTTCTTAACATGTCTTGAAGTTCTCCAGAGGCCTGGTAATGAACTAATCACTCATGTGATTCAGGTGTGCTGACCCAGGGTGAGATCTAAAACCTGCAGGGGCACCGGCCCTCGCAGACTGGGATCGGGGACCCCTGGTTTAGATGCACACTCTGTATTGGTGCACGGTTTTGAGGCGTGACTCATGGGTGTGTTTTAGATGATAAATATGGTTGCACACACCTGTTCACCACACCTGATGTTGCTGAGCAGAAAGGTAGGGTCAGCATGAGGGGAAACCTTCTGTTGACTGCAGCTTGATGTATAGCAGGGGTGGGCGTGATGAGGTGTAGACCCCAACTGGTCTCCTTGTTATAACTACTAGTCAAGCCATAGTAAAAGCCTGACGTGAGCCTTCAAAATAAAGGTTTTTCATCTGTGCTGTAGCCCAGCGGTCTCCAACCTTTTTTGCACCACGGACCGTTTATGCCCGACAATATTTCCACGGACTGGCCTTTAAGGTGTCGCGGATAAATACAACAAAATAAAACTAGTACCGGTACCGAAAAAAAAAAGATTTATTCATAACACACGTGAAAAGACCCAGGAAAACCGAGTTAACGATCAAAACGATAACAAAATAACGCTGAAAACTGATAAAAACCCTGAAAACTATGCATTTCACACCTGAGCCTCAACTCTCGCGGCCCGGTACCAAACGACCCGAGGCCCGGGGGTTGGGGACCGCTGCTGTAGCCAACATGCTTTGAAAGGCAAACTTTTATTTTGAAGGTGAACCCTCCCTTGCACTGACTGGTCTCTTAGTGGATGCGAGTGATGTTTTATCAGTGTACTTCACAGTGACCGACGTCAACCTCCAGCAACCACTTTCAGTCGGATGGGGAGTACGTGTTTTTTCCTGTTAGATGGTTGCAGATGGTCTCTATTGCTGCTTATTGACCTGCAGTTATCAAGACGTCCTACCTACACAGGAGTCTGGCAACAAGGCATAGGTTGCACAGCCAGTATAGTAACTGAATGCTTTTAGCATTTAACTGGAGAAAACGTCCAAGTTTTTGAAGCTTGTTTTGCGTCTCTAGTTTGGCTAACATTCTGCTACTTCAATGTGACAACATGTAAAATATGACCAGGCAAAAGGTTTTGGTCACAGCCTTGGTCAGACATCATTAAACCAGCTGTAATATTGGAGCCTTTCAATCTGTGTGTGGGAGGTGTCGGATGGTGTGAGGAGGCCATGCTGAGCGGCGCCGTGTCACGAGACGCGCGGTGATTACGTCTCGGTGTTTATCGAACTCTGACTGAGTTCATCTGTCTGCCAAAACCAGTTTCACTTTATCAGATTTACGAACCTAAACAAATTTTAATGAACCAAGCCGAACTGGTGAGCACGCGCAGTGTGGTATTCACATAGCTGAAGATAAACACGAGCTTCAGATCATTTAAATGATCATTAAAACACCAAATAAAGCATGTAGTAACTTTACTTTTGCTTCTGTGTGTGTTTCTGCACCAAAGACAGATTGACTGTTTGTTAAACGTCGCCCTGAGACCAGCTGTGTGTCTTTGACGGACGATGTCACACTGGGAGCGTTTGGAAGTGGAGCATAAAGCATTTATCGCCTCTGAAGAGTTCATTACCAGAGCTCATTATTTAGGCCTGCAACATTGTAACAGTTTAAACCGTATACGACAGACAGTAGGGAAAATCAGAGGAGCTTAATGAATGATTTATTTAAATGCTGCTAATGAATTCTGTTTTAAGGGTCTAACTGAGGAACCGTCAGCTCCAGTCAACAGTAAATTTGTCTATTAAATTAAATGATCTGGAGTTAAAGCAGACTTTTAGAACCTGAGCTTCAGAGAAAGAAAAGGAGACGAAGGGGCTTTGGATGCATTGTCCAGCTAAAGCCTCAGTAATAAGTTGGCTTTGTTTTCACATTCCTTCTCCCCCTCTCTGACTCTATTTTTATTTTTCTCTCTCCTGCCTCCATCACCCTCCCTCCATCCTCCCTGCCTGAGAGCGTTCTCACACACCGAGACCATCTCAGCCCAGATCTTTTCGTGGCGGGAAACACCTTCTCGCTGATATTTTTATCCCTCAGCCAGAGGTATTGTGTACCGCTCGCCACGAGCTCGCTGCCTCTGTATTTTTATCTGGAAGAAAACCCGGCTCGTGAAAAACACTCAGAGCTGTTGGGTTGCTGACAAAGTGTTTGTGTCGGGCGACATCGTGACGCACATGTTAAATGGCTGCACGGTGCCGTGGAAGTGGTTTAATCGCATCTATTGTGTAAAAATATGCTATTTGTGCTTCTCATGGGGGCTATTATTGCTTATTACACTACCAAATACCAGCGTGGACATAAAAACGAACTTTAGCTGTGAACAATAAATCTGAAAAACAGATGTTTCATTGGCTCCGTGTTTATAGATTTGTCTGTGTTTATGTCTCTGCTGATTTATTGTTGTCCTATAAAAATGTAATTCTCTGTAGATCAACTTTAATTGATGAGATTTTTGAATGTCCTCCGAGTCCTTTAAACTTTAAATACAGACAAATTTTGCACATACTCGTGCATCACTACAATAATAATAATAATAATAATAATGTATTTATTCTTTATTGACCCCCGTGGGGAAATTACTCTCTCTGCATATGACCCATTCACTCAGTGAAGCAGTGGGCAGCCACTAAGGCGCAGCGGAGAGCAGCGTGTAGGGATTCAAACCCCCGACCTCCTGATCATGGGGTGACCGCTCTACCTGCTGAGCTATCCCTGCCCCATCAATAGAAAACTGAGAATTCACATTCATAGTTTACTGATCTGCATTATTTAATGAACTTTGCATGTGTCATGAAGTTGTGTCATGTACAACATGAGTCCTTAATCAGTCGACTAAAAGGTTTGTTAGACTTTAAAACGTTTAGACAGGAAAAGTAAGAGTCCTGTGATCGTGTGGTTCACCTGTAAGAGTGAAACCATCACTTTGAGCTGCGATGTGCTGCTGTGACGCTTCCACATCTCTGTGCTCGTCTGTGGCTCCATATCTTGCACACAGCATGTGTGACTGTACAGTCAACAGCTGTGGCCATAATTAAGAATATAAAGGGGGCCAAATTTAGCCCGAGAGCCTTAATTTTGCGGCGTCATTTAGCTGAGCGTGCAGTTCACATATCCTAATGTGCATGAATCTGTTTAATAGTCACAGCTGTCAGGTCAGTAATAAGGACACAAATGTATTTCTGATGAGAATAAATCAGAGTTTTCTGTGCTGAGTTCAAATGAGACGGTTTATTCACAGAGACCTGTTTTTGAATCAGAGTTGATTCTACCTGAGGCTTTATGCACTGTTTAGGTTACTGATACTGAGGAACTGTGTAGAGTGAAGACAAACACTGAAGGGAATCACTAGATGTCCCGAGTCGGTGTGTTGACAGAAATTACAGTGATCCGTTCAAAGCCAGGAAAAGATTAGCAAACCAGGCTGTGTTCAGATGGTGTTCATAGTGAAGCTGCTAGTTTGTCCTAACATGCTTAAACTGTAGGAGGGAGACTTATTCCCATCAGCCCCTTTGTTTCTGTTAGATAATGCTGATGTGCACAGCTGCGTCTCAGTCGTTTCAGTCGTTTCATGGGCCGAAGCAGCTAAACTCTGTTGTTCAGATGTTTTTGGTACAATTCGATTTCTATAGTGAAAAAACACGACTACACATGAGACAGATGCAGGCAGCAGTCTGAACACGAGGTTCAGACAGGAAGAGAGCCAGAGAGTAATAATAACTAATGATTACATACAGAGTGAAAAAAGGAGTGAAGAAGAAACACCCAGTGCATCATGGGAATCCAGCCTACGTCTATTGCAGCATAACTAAGGGAGGATTCAGGGTCACCTGGTCCAGCCCTAACTATATGCTTTAGCAAAAAGGAAAGTTTGAAGCCTAATCTTAAAAGTAGAGATAGTGTCTGTCTCCTGAATCCAAACTGGAAGCTGGTTCCACAGAAGAGGGGCCTGAAAACTGAAGGCTCTCCCTCCCATTCTACTTTTAAATACTCTAGGAACAACAAGTAGGCCTGCAGAGCGAGAGCAAAGTGCTCTAATAGGGTGATATGGTACTACAAGGTCATTGAGATAAGATGGGACCTGATTATTCAATTATTCAATTTCACACCTGTGTCCAGTTTCCCCATTATCCCAGTCTGTTAAACGTTTCCAGATTCACTGGATTTAAACTGAAGCCCTCCAACACAAAGCCTTTGCAGGCTCACTGACCTGCTCTGTGAAGCTGCAGCATCACTGCAGAGTCACAGATTTTGTAGCTGTTTATACATTTTCTTCTGCTTTTGGTAGCACTTCATAATACAGAGCTCAGCTTGTAAGTTCTGTACGTTTCCTCAGGGAAAAGGACCACGAGGAGTTGCTGTGTTATTGACTATTCTAACTTCACAATATGTTTTGGGGAAGGAAGGAATATTCCCAATAATTAGTTTTCCACGTTGTGCTTCCTCGTTGCCTTTGTCCTCCTTCCTGTCAGCTGAAATTTGAGTTTTAATGTATTAGCAGGACCGTTTCGTCCCGTTCTCCCACCGATGGCTCTACGAACAGATGAACAGAATAAACTTTCTGGGATCATTTGTGGGTGTGAGCAATACAAAAATCACAATTATGACATTTATTTTTTATTTAAATTAAAATGAATTTTAAAAGCAGCAGCAGACTGTAATAAATGATGTAAGTGACACTGCTTTAAACAGACAGCTCAGGAGGTGTGCGCCTCCATCCTCGTGTCTTTGAAACAGTTCAGACACTGATTGATCTTTAATCTGATTTGGTGGAGCCGGTCAGTCCAGCCCGTATCATTGAGATGTCTGCTGGAGTTCTGTGGAGGATTTTACCATCACATTTGTTGGGAGCTGGTCTAAGCTCCCACAATTATGAAACCCCATCTTATAAACTTCCGTGAAGGATTTTTAAGCCGTTCTTTATCCTGAACTTTCACAAAGAGAACTTTCTGAATAGTATTTCCTGTCTCACTGGTACCTGAAGCCAATCTCCCCCAACACTGCATCGCTCTAATGTTGTAATTGTTTGTGATAGACTGGCCTCTAACAGGAATGTGACTGCAAAGACAGAAGTGCACCAGTGTGCACACTCTTGCTGTAAAACCATAGAAGTGCATCCATCTGATGTACTGGCAGTGGAATAATGAGTTGGCGTGTAAATATTTATAGTGATATTTAATAATGCTCGTGTGAGCTGTTTCCTGAGGCTGGACCAGTTTCCTGACAGCCTCTGCTAAAGAATGCATCCTCCTTTCCTGCCACGCGGACAGAAACACTGGCCACTCCCTCGCAGCATGTTGCTTATTTTTACTCGAGCGCTCCACAGTCCAGAGCTTTAATCCAAAAACAGGCTTAGATCATTAACAGGTGATCAGTCAGTGAAGCAAACTCTAAAGGCTTAAATAGAAGTGTAACGAAACAATCCCTGACCATCTACGTACACTTGAGGAACTCACTGACTGCTCGGAAACAGGTGTGACTAGAACAACACAGGTGAGACTAATCAGGTTAGAGCACAATTATCAAGAACCTGAAGACACCAAAGCAGAGAAGTAAACTGGCACCAGAATTTATGTCTGGCATAAAACCTCCCAACTCAAACATCACCACCACGGGACTTTCAGGAGACAGGCAGTAACTCTGGGAGAGCTGGGCGGGGTTGTAGAAGGCCTTCAACCCATCAGCAGGATGAACACTGCAAGAGCTATAAAACGACCTGCAGCAGGCTGCTGGGGTGAATCAGTAACAGCCTTCATGAGGGCCTCATGTCCTCTAGCAGGCCCTGTGCTCGCTGCCCACCACTGTGGAGCCCAATGGCCTTTGCCATAGAATACCAGAATTAGCAGGTCTGCCACTGTGCTTCTCAGAGATGAGAGCAGCTTCACCCAGAGCACAGGTGACAGACGTGAAATGCTTTAGAGAAGCCGTGGAGAATGTTATGCTGCCTGTAACATCGCTCAGCACGAGCGGTTTGGTGGTTAGCATATCCATGGAGGGACGTCTACAGGCCAGGCCTCGTACAGGCCACTGTACGAGGCCACGCTGCTGCACTGGGTCCTGGCTTCCTGCTTGTGACCAACAATGCTGCTCCTGGTGAATAAACACTTGATACCATCAGTCCCATGCTAGAGAACAGTAGAACACAGTAGAAACAGAACTCTTCTGGCACTTGTGGTGTGCAAGGACACCATCCATCGTCTCATTAAGAGCTTGCTCTGACGTTGTGGGGCATGCAACATATCATGTGGTATCAAAATGGCAACAGAGGAGTCGCCCCCTGCTGGCCATTAGAAAAAATGCAGGTTTATGACACTTTTCAGACCTGATTTTTCCATGATTTCTACGCAAACTGTGACTTTACCACAGAAACAATCTTTTCTTCCCATCTTTTCAGGTACATTCGATCCAAACATACCAGAGGAGGGACCATCAGCGCCACCTCCTGGCTGGCTGGATGATATTCATGGATATCAGGGCCTCAAAGGAGGAGGTGAGCCTTCTGTTCTACTCTGAGGTTTCTGTACACCAACACCACCTTCATCGCCTTTGTTTTTGTGTTTCTGTTCATGCGTTTGTCCAGATGACGATAACCCGCTGTACCCACCGCCCCCTGCCTACAATCCCCAACCTGAACAAAACAGAAGCACATCAGTGCCCGACGTCAGGTAACTCCTGCAGGTCATCTTTTTATTAAAGGCTTTGCAGATGATTCTTTGCTTTATCTCAGCCAAAATAGTCGCTCGACAAACAAATGAAGGCCCGGTGGGATGAAAGATATTTTTCTCCAGGGTCCCTTCGGTGTCAGAGGATGTAGCCAGAGATGCTCTGCTCAAATTTGTGGAATCCAAATGGAATTACAGCTCCAAACCTGCCAGGAACCTCACCTTCAAAGATCTGCAGCCCATCACAGTGTACAGGGTAGGTCTCATACCTGTGGCTTTATGTTTCCCAAAACTAACTCACACCAACATGACATCTGCAAGAAAACTGCTAATGATTTTAACTTCACTCATTAAAACAGTTTAACAACAACGATGCCTTTAAGAATGAATCATTGACCATAGAGAAATGAAAATGGTACATCTGACAACAAGGGGGAATAACAAAGTCTGGCTTTGATTTGTGTTGGGATGTGGCGCTTTAGAAATAAGACTGAATTAAATTGAACAACAGAGCAAAAACAGAGTTCAGATGTGACTGATGGCGTGTGTTAACCTCCTGGAATTAGCAGTTTAAGTGCCCCCTCCCACACGTGTTTCAGTAATTAGATATCAGTATAAGGGTGGAGGAGTGTAGAAATCTAATAAGTGTAAATAATACAATAAAAATGATCATAAAATAACATAATAAACATTTAATATACTTAAGACATGGTGGTGAAGATGGCTCTCAACATTTCTGTAAAAGAGCTACTTGACAATTTCAGACCTCAGGTGTAACATCCACCCACCCATGCATCCATCCATCCACCCATCCACCCACCCATCCATGCATGCATCCATGGTTGCTGGGGGCGACTGGAGGTTATCTCAGCTGTCATAGTGTGAGAGTATCCTAATGCAGTGGTCCCCACGGACCGATTTAATGTCAGACAATGTCAAACCTTTAAGGTTTTGTGGATAAATACAACAAAATAAAATGATAGGACCGAGACAAAAACTGTGGCATTTTGTAAATATAACAATAAACACGAATTCACTGTGTAATTGTGTAACTTTATTAGCAGCGTCCTCCTGAAATGCACCAACAACACTGAGAGTAACGTCTGCCTCTCTGCCCCTTAATGCTCTCTGGTCGCTATGGTAACGTGTAAACATTTCTTTCAAAATAAGACACACAACTACAACACGGGGAAAGGCCCAGGGAAACCGAGTTAACGATAAAAACCCTGAAAACCAGAACACCTGTCATCTCTCACTGCTCGGTACCGGTCTGTGGCCCGGTGGTTGGGGATGGCTGTCCTAATGCATTTCTGTTTAATCTCCTGAGACCTGAACTCTTTCATGGCATTTTTAATTTCGCTTTGTTCTTTGGGCTGATTGGAACCTGATGAATTTAAAAACAAAGAATTACGTGATTTATTTTTTTTACCTGATTTTTGTTTCTGAGAAAAATGGGATCCACATATGAGGACATTTGCTTTAAATTTCAATAGAACAGTGGCAGTACAACGTCCTCGTAAGTGGAAATTAGGCCCTTGTAGAGCAAAACTGAATATTTTGGTCTAAAGAACCCAAAACGTGATGTCCACATATGTGGACGCCAGGTCCTAGGAGGTTAAAGAGGAGCTATTCTGCTCAGTTCCAGGTTCATGGTTTTATTATTTGCTCAGCTTAGAGCAGCTTTGCATGAACCCTGAGGTCCTCCTCTGTGTGAAACAAGCTGCTTTAGCTCCTCCCTGTTTAAGACAACTCCTCCTGATTGGCTGGCTGCCATAAACAGAAGGTTTAAACAGCAGGTGGTTGGAGCTGTACACCTAAGATAACATGACCATATTAGGATGACATCATACAGAGCCAGGGGTAGAAAAAACTCCTGGCTCTGAGCTTTTGGCTCACAGAGAGCGCCTGCACAGAAACCAGCCTCATTATCAGAAACTTTGATCACTGAACGTCCGCCTCTGAAACAGGAAATAAAGAACAACACCAAAGCTCCATGCTAAATGAGTCGGTGCTGTTCAACTTTAATGGAGTTTGATGTAAGGAAGCAAAGCTTGTCCAGGATCCACGGCAGCTTTAACAGCTCACAGCAAACATGATTTTAAAGCTTTTTAAGTTTCTCTTTAAAACCCAGTTTACGGGTCAGTCTGTGTGGAAACTTGAATCCAAAGTGCTGCCAGTGTTTCCAGTCTGCCTCCTTTTCTTTCTGCAGTATCGACTGGAGACCTACACCGAGACCAGAGCCAGCGCCTGGCAGTTTGAGCCCTACAACGGTAAAAACAATTCCTCACATGATGTCTTTCCTGCATGAACAACAGGATTAGATCCACGTCTGTCACGATACAAAGGCAAGAGACCAGCGAAATGCAGAAACCCTGCGACTGCTGGCTGTATAACTAACTGCTGGAGTCCAGTAGGGGGTGGTAATGCAGCAGCTGACTACTCACCTAATCCAAGTTTCTTTATAGTTCCTGTTCTTCCTGTTTAAAGGCAGTTCCTCTTACATGCAGGGATTTTTTAAGGTGGTGGAGTAATTTCCCGATCCTGATTCCTGTGCTGGAAGCAGACAGAGTTCCTCTAACGGTTCTTAGTTCCTGGGAAAAGTTCTCGAGGTGGGAAAGCAGCAGAAAGCTGAAAACTTTCAGTTTGTTATCATTTCATCTTGTTGTTTCACCTCCTGTTGTATCTGTCAGAAGTATTGATTAGAGGGCAAAACACATCAGAAAAGCTCAAACTTGATGATTAAAATCTAAAGTGGAGAAATGTGGTGACAGAGGATCAATCGGCTGAGGAGCGGTCGGTCACACGAGGCGGGATAACTCTTCATCAGTTATGTTGTCCTGGTGTGAAACAGGTCAGACGGTGGACGGTCCTCAGTACGGTATGAGCCCCGCGCCGTGGGACATCCCGGTGTCGCTGCCTCAGAGATACACCGACAAGGTGGAGAAGATCCGAGTGCCGCACTCGTCGTTCGTGAAGGTGCGGCTCTGCGCCTCTTAGTCTTTTTTCAGCTTCCTGAGCTGCTGTTTTATCACAGTAACACAAATTTGTGTTCCAGGTGTGTCACAAGTGCAAAGGCTGCGGGAGAACTCGCTGCACCGCCTGCTTCGGCCGAGGCCAGGTCCGGCTTTTAAAGCGTTTCATATTTTATTAAATAAACAGAACAAGTAGAAACGGGAGAACGTTCACGATTTAACTGCCAATCATGACACATGAAAAATATCTGCTGGTTGTTGATTTTTATCTCACTTATTTTCTGCTTACGATAAAACAGAAACTCTGAATGTTCAGACACATCCATCATAGTTTAAAATGATCAAACATAGTTTGCAGTGAATGTGAATCTTTTTAATCTGTTCTTCTCGTTCTGCAGAAGCGCTGCACGTTCTGCCACGGCCGCGGTCGTATCAGGAACAAGCACTGCACTTCCTGTCATGGCAGAGGTCGAAAGAGGTGAGAGCCCAGTCTGCTGCTTTTCTGCCTCTTTCTCACTAAAACGTGCAGATGATCAGGGACAGCTAACAAAAGCACTTTGTGCTGCGACACACGTCTCTGCTTATCGGAGGCACGATTTCGTGTCAACCTGTAAAAGTCTGAGCTGCTTTCCCCAGACTGAGGGGAGAAATGATGATGATGATGAAGAGCAGGCAGGAAGTGAGTGTTTTGATCCAGAAAGATGTCAAGTGGGAACTGAGGACTCCAGTGGAGGGATAACTGTAACATACATGGGAGGTGTGGCAGTCAGGAGCCCGTTGGAGGCCACGCCTCCCGGAGGGCGTACTGTGCCTTTGACACAAACTGAGAGAGAGAGGGGAAGGGATGGTGAGGGTCATGTTTGCAGCTACGATGCAGCTTCCGTGGATGAGCCTGCAGGATACAGGACCAAAGAAAGTCCACCATGTCGAGGCGTCTGAAGGAGAACCTGGTGCTTGATCATGCAACAAGCCTGTTCACAGATTTTTGGCCAAACCCAAACAGTCTGACCTCCCTGTGATTTCATCGTCCTCCCTAAATGAAGTTGACATGATGAATCGGGTGCAGAGAGCAGGGAGAGCACACAGATGGAGCTGCACGGAGCCTGCAGGCTGAGCCGTTGCAGCTCCGCTCGCTTTGTTGTTCACGCTGTCTCTGACTCTGCTGTCGGTCTCTCGCTCCTGAAGGTGTTTGAGCTGCCACAGCCACGGCTACAAGACCTGCTCCGTTTGTCTCGGCAGCCAAAACCTGCTGCATTTCATCCAGCTCACAGTGACGTGGTATCAAAATCACTCAAAATGTTCCCACGGCCCTCCGTATGACATCACTGCTTCAGCCGTTTGTGTTTATTTTCTAAATGTGTAGGAAGAACAACGTCAGTGAGTTCATTCCCGACCGCCAGCCCGACTTTCCTGACAGGAAGTTCGAGAAGGTGTCGGGAGACGCTTTCTTCGTCGATGAGAGTTTGCTGGTAACACATTTATTTTTCTTTCTTTCATTTGTGTGTTGGATCCACACCGGCTGCTTCCTCTGTCCTGCTGTGGGAGAGAGTGCAAGCACACAGCGTGTGGATGAATATGAACTATATGAATGCATTTATAATAATACAGACTTCCTGCTGCTGCCAGGTGTACCCTATCCAGGGTTTCCCGGATCAGGAGATCTGTGAGGTTTCAACAAAACTGATTAACGAACACCTCGAGCGCTTCACCGCCACCAGCCGCATCCTGCAGCAGGTACGCGGCCCTCTCGGCCGATCTCAGACACCTTCTTTGAGGTTTGTTGCTCTGTGTCACTCTGAGCGTCCGATCTCCCTCCTCAGCGTCAGAGCATCGAGCTGGTGCCCCTCACTCATGCCTATTACACCTACAGCGGGAAGGACTACAGCTTCTTCGTCTACGGGCTGGAGAACAAAGTGTTTACCTCCAAATATCCCTCTGCATGTTCCATCCTGTAGGCAGCACGGTATCGATATTTAATCCCACGACCCATATAACCCTTTTTGTTTTGTATGTTTACTTAAGAATCTCTGTTTATGATCAAAGCTCAGCTTATTTTTGACAGGATTCACCTCCAAATCACAGGGAGCCAAACTTTTAAGATAAGTGGCCCCAAAGCCGTCGCAGCTGTCGGGTCAGTTAAACATGTTGATGGATTTTCACTAGAAAAGTTTCCATATATCCGCAGATAAACTTTGTTATGCATGTTAGTTATTTTAACCATGAATCAGTATGAATTATACCTCTTTCTCTAATCTGCTATAATCCACCCACTGTGTGTGCGTGCCCTAACATCTACTTCCTGTTTTCCAACCTGGTTATTTCCTGTTGCTGCTTTCTTTGTGGCATTCAGTGCTAAATGCTTTTGTTCAGTACATCATCAGGTCAGATCACAACCTGGAGTTGAGTTGTTTATATGTTCAGTCTTCAGACGTCCTGCAGTCACGCTCAGGGTTTATTCTCTTATTTTCTGCACGAACCTCATTTTACTGCTTTTGGTCTCAGACTCAGTCAGACTCGCTGCCACACTGTTACTCTCGTTACTGTTAGCACGAGTGCACTTACAGCGTCAGCTTCGACTCGAGATCTTTCTTGGTAATTCTCACTGAGTGATGTTTTTAAAGAAAAGTGATTAAGTGAGAAAATAACTGGCAGAATAATCAATACTGAAAGTGATTGTTAGAAGGAGCACCGCCCAGAACATCACAGAACACGAATGACCAAAGATTTTGAACCTTTCTGGACGTTTCATTTTGGTGTCTCGCTCTCAGTCTCTCTGTGATTGGTTTTGGTTTCTCTGATGATTTTTTTGCATATTTTTGTCTCTTTGTGATTTCAGTCTGTTTTTTTGTGTGTGGTCATCTTGTTTTTATGTTGTTTTCATTATCAATACCATTGTTGAAATATTTAGTCAGGTTTATTCAGTTTCTCGTTATTTTCATATTTTTTTCTTTGGATTTTTCCAGATTTGTCATCATTTTTTTGTCTTTGTTGTAATTTTTAGCTTCTTTGTTACTTTAAGTCTCTTTGTTGCTGTTTTGAGTGTTTTCAGTCTTTTAGCTGAGCTCGGTTCAGGTTCAGGGTCTTCCTGCCTCCTTTCTTCAGCCTGTCCAATCATCCATCCAACGGTCCAGGTCTTGTTAGGCGAATAATTACAGGGATGGAATCGCTGTTATATAAATATGAATGATGGACTTCAATAGTAAAGTGTAAAGTTTTGCTTGATGGATAAACATCATTGAATTTAATCTGGTTGAGGATTTTTCTGGAGCTGTAAGGTGATTCGGTGCAGGTTCAGCGGGTCGAGCAGGCGACCCGTGTGTCGTACGGCTGTTGCCTTAAAGTTGTTGTTTTTTTTAAGTCCACATGTAAAAGAAGAGACGAATCTTCTTTGGGGCAGAAAATGAACTCCAGGCCAAATTCCTGGAAGATTAAGTGCAGCAGTTTACTGCCAGCGATGATAAAATGCAGCTTCCTGTCTGAAGCAGTTTGAACGTGTCAATTTCTAATGATGTCATTAGTAGGGACTGTTCGTACGTTTTCCCCTTACAGCTTCTGTACAACCCGTCCAGTGTTTGGACATTTTTCCTAAAGTGACACAGAAAACATGTCTCATGCTGTATTTAACATTTGTACATCGCTACAGACTCTCATGTGTACAGCTAAAATAACATTTTGATATCTTTTATTGTTTTAAAAACTATAAATCACCTGCCGATGTTTGCAGTAAAGTTATCACACAAATAAAAATGTTTTTATCGTTACCCTGTGGTGTCTGTGCAGTCCCTGAACTAGAAAACCACCAGCTTGGATCCAAAAACATGTTTTATTGAAATTATTTATAAATGTTTTGGTATTTTATATTTTTAGAGTCAGATTCCTGCTCAAGAACTGAAGGTAAAATCACGTGGCTACAAACGGTTAAACATTGATGCATTTTATTGATCCGTTTTAGATTTGAAGCGTCAGGGCGGGAAACCTGAACCGGCCAACATACAACTGGAGAAAATGTCGTTTTTATTTCTGTGCTGATAAAATAACACCACAAGAGGGCGCTGCAGCGTGTCAGCCCAGGTGTGTTTACTGACACCGTGTGCTGTGGGAAAAAACCACGACCCAAGGTTGACGGGTGAAAAATATTTTAACTCTGGCAGAGATTTATTTATAATATATTTAAGTGTTTAAACTAGTGTTTATGGCTTTAAGTTTCATTTTTGTGTCATTTTAAGTCTGTTGTCCCTCTTTGTTGACGCCAAATCATTTTTAATTCAACCAAACCCTGAGTTTGTTTGTCTCTGTCCTTTTTTTGTTGGGTTTTTGAGTCTTTCTTAATGTTTTTGACTCATTTTGCATTTTTTCCTCTAACTGGCCTCCTTGGGCTCATTGTTCCTGTCTCATAAAGCCTCTTCAGACTGAGCTGGTGGACCGGGGGCCCTGGCCCTGTGTAATCTAGTGTGATAGCCAGAGGGGTGTGATTCATGGTGGCAGATATTAACTGAATTCTGGGAAAGAAATACTTTTTGCTGCATATTGCAAGTTATTAATTTTATTTTAAAGCTCGAACAGTGTCTTTTCTAAAAACCGGATTTGCCAGTATGTAGTTCTGCGTTTTTATTGCTTTTCACTTTGTTCTTGTTGTTTAGAGTTTTGAAGCCGTTTGCTTTTCTTTCCGGTCAGTTTGCGTCTGTTTGTATTAATATTGCGTCGTATTTATTTTAGAATATTAAAGTGTTTTTGGTTGTTTTGAGAATTTATCTCTGTGTTTTTACTGGCTTGTGTCGTTGCGTTGTTTTCAGTGCATCAGTAATTAAACCCCTTCAGGCGCTGCCCGTCAGTGTGGATGGCAGATAAAAACCACAGACTCCAATCACTGTGAAATGTGGACGTCGGACGTTCCGAGTTGCACGTGAAGGCAGCACGTTCAGGGCGGGTGGGTTGAGGGTGCAGGAGTGGCTCAGCCTCCAGCCCGCACGCGCTCAGTGTGTTTATAACGTGTGAAGCCTTCAGGTGACCCGTCCGGTACCCGCTGCATCACCACCGGGATCTGCGGCGGCTCTGCGGAAGCGGAATAAAGTGAGACAAATCCACGCACACAGAGAGACAAATCCACGCACACAGAGAGACTTCTGCTCGGTGAGTTTGGGAAAGTTTCATTCTGCGTGTGGATGCGCTGCTGCTGTCTCTCAGGAGGAAAGATTGTTTTAAGTGTGTGTTTTTAATCTTATGATTTATTCCGGATGTATCGGTGACGTGTTTGGTCACAGAGGACACGTGCATGTTAAGAGGAGACTCATCCTCCCGTGTCTCCGCTCAGGAGGTTTGTGGGAAGTTTCCAGCAGATTTTAAGCTGATGAAAAGGTTTAATTTAATCTCATTCAGGACTAACGACACCCGTTTAGAAGGTTCAGTTCTGCTTATATAAATATCTTCTGGTGATGTGAGGAATCCTTGATGGGGAGGTTTCAGGCTGGGCTCTGTGGAGGAGTTGTGCTGGTGCCTGAGGTGGCCTTAGTGCCCACAGAGGAAGAGTATTTTTGTCACTGGGGAAGTTTATAGGGTTTTGTTGGCATTTTGGTGGCAGCTGAGGAGGATCCAGGGAGTTTTCATGGTCAGCGAGGACACCCCGTCTTGTGTCTTTGTTGGAGCTTTGGCCACTGAGGGTTGCAGAGTAGGAGCTACAGCCCATCATACAGGTTGGATGTGTCTTCTGGATGACTTTGCAAAGTGTAAAAATTGCAGACATAATTTATGGACCCTTCAATTTATTTTTACTAAGAAAGAGAGAATTTAAGCCCGAGGCAGAGTTACTGCAAACTGCAAGTGGAAAAACTGAGACATGTTGTTGAAACTTCTTATTTCTGTTCTCCACCTGCTGGATGACTCATTACACATGAATGAGCTTCTCTTTACACTTAAAAACATCATTTAATGTCCACGAATTAACATGAGTGTGACAGCTCTGAGGTAGAAGCTTTTAGAGCTAAACTAAAGGAGCCCACAGGAGTTTTTCATGGACATTCGAGCTGTGAGTGGCCCTGTGAGCATGTTTGAGGCACCTGCAGCCGGGGCTGTTAGAGGCAGAACCACAGAAGGATCTGACGGTACAGTGGCTCCGTGTCTCTGCCGTGGGTAAACCTCCCCCCATTGTCCCGGCCTTTCCTGTTATGGACTTCACCCCCTCCTCTGCTGTACAGTGTGACCGTGGGGCTGCTGCTTCCTGTCCTCTGTGTGTGTTTGTTGTTTCCTGGCTGCTTTGTGTCATTGTGTCGCCTCTCAAACTGCAGCGCTGCTGCTGTGCAGATATCAGACACCTGTGTGCTCTGCGTGGGAGCTCGCTCTGTGACACATGACCTGCAGCGACACGCTGCAGGTCATGTGTGCAGTGCAGTGTGCAGTGTGCAGTGACAGACTGAAAACGCGACATTTCAGTTTTCTGGTTTTTATATTCTGTCCTGAAACGGTGTGATTAGAGAAAATGATCTGTTCACTGTTTAGTTTTTTGTGCATTAAAATGCAAAAATTCTCTGATGTGTTGATTTGAGTGTTTTCTGCTTCGTTTGGTCGTCGGACTCTTTGCTGTGCGAACTCGGTGTTTGTCTGGCTTCCACAATAAGACGTCATCAGCTCATTCTACTGAGTCACCTATTCATTCCTTATTTATACCAATGGAGTCGTTCCTGAAACCAAATCAAACTGAAGGTGAATAATTCTCAGCAACAATAAATCCGAATAGACCCGACGATCATTGGACCTCAAGCAAACATGCAGACTGACCACCGACCAGAAGAGGAAACAGCTGCATGATAATCTGTTAATGAACTTAATTAAGAAGCTGAACATCACAAGGGTTTGCTCTGCAACAGGTAAGTCACCTGCAGAGACCTCAAAACCCCCAAAGTCCTCAGTGATGATGGGACGCAAGCGCTGACCTTTGTCCAAAGTTTTCAGGGGGACAGAGAGAATCAGGGGACAAAAAACTATTTGGACTTTTTTCTAGAAAAAGTTTAATAACTATCCCCCAAAAATCAAAACAAGTTCGGGTTTCTTTTGTGGGCCACGAGTCTGAGGTGACCAGAACAACACAAAAGCTGGTGGAGACGGATGCAGGGCTGAAGGAAGACGTGCGCTGGCTTTGGTGTCCTTCTAGTTCCCAGTGTTTTAATGCATTTCCTTCACTCCTTTCTATTTTTAAAAGAGGCTGACATTGAGATTAGTTGGGGGATTAAACTGTGAGGACTTGACTTCAGAAGGAAGAAATCTAAGTGGCCTAAAAATGAGCACAAATAACTTGTTTCTGCAAAATTAATTGGTTTCATTTAAAGGAAACTTGAGGAAGAGCCCTTTAAATCTGCAGGTTCGCTGAATCTGTGAAGCTGAGTGGAGCCCGTTGAAGCTACTTGAGAGGGTTTTACTCTGTTTGTATCAAGCTGGCTGCTGAGTGAAAGGAGAGAAAACGAGGAAAAGCTCATGTCAGCGTGAGGCGTGGAGGAAAACTGACAGCAGGTTTTGGCCCAGAGATGGAGATCGGCGAGCACGCAGCGGGCTTTTTGCTCGTGTTCTTAAAAGCCGAGTCAAGCTCCATGAGTTGAATCAACAACGGCTCCTGATAAAAGTCTTATCTGATGGCTGCCGGCCAAAGAGCAGTGAAGTTCAAAGCTGGGCTGCAGCACTTAGGAAGAGCCGCACTTTCACTCGTGGTTGGAGTTTTTTGTTTTCGTCAGTCTGGAACATTTAAAATGAGCAGCAGAGAAACATCCAGAGACAAACAGGCAGACGCACTGATCCCAGCAGGCACTCGAATGACAAAGCAAGATGTCATCCGTGCACGTTACAGCACAGCGTGGAGAGCAGAGGAGAAAATCCCAGTATTAGTGCAACCTGCAGCTGGTTAGTGAAAGTTACACATGTCAGGCTGCTGGGGGCTGAGTCAGCATCAGCCAGAACTGAAACAGCACTTATACCAGACTGTCCTGTCCTCAAATATCCTGAATTTATCTCTTACAGTTTGTTGAACTTTAAACATAATTAAAATGAAAAAAGTCCGAAAAGGCGAGGCTGAACTCTGACCTCAGGTAGCTGCCAACACGCGCGGAGACAAAGACGACCATTAATAATCCTTCCACAGGGTGACCTCCAGAAACCTGTTTAGAAATGAGAAAACCACATGAAGGGTTTCATCCTGCATGGATGCTTCTTTCTGTTGCCTCTAACTTTTCCACGTCTGGGAATCACGTGAGCAGATCTTCTTGCTTTCCCAGCGTGACAGGATGCAGCGTCCTGCGCTCTTGCTGCTGGACTGAAGGTGTAATCTGTCAAAGCATCCGTGCTGCGCGGTGCTTTCCGTGGTTGAAGC